CAAGCCCCTGCCTGCCTAGGTGGACTTGTGCTGGGAGCTCGCACCAGGTGTGCCTCAGTACAGCAGTGACACTCCAGAGGAGAGGGCAGCCCACAGCCCCATGACTATGGGAGGATCAAGAACAGGACTCCTAGCACCTTATGTGGAGCTGGGTTCGTGAAGGAAATGAATAGATAATGAATGAGCTGCTGCTATAGGCAAGACTCTGCTGAGCCTCAACCTGTGTCCCCCCATAGGAACCCATAGCCATGACGCTGGCAATGGCGCAGACACTGAAGTGCATCTGCTGTAGGGTTCCTGTTGCATAAGGTCTCGAAACAGACCGAACTTACCTGTGCTAGTAGAAAAGAGGTCACAATAATGGTGATCTTGGGGGCTAAAAGGGGACTCCATTTGATTCTGGAATATTCTGTCTCTTCCTCTGGGAGCCAGTTACATGGAGTCTCAAAAAACCACTGGATGGACTCGTATCATCCTGCACTTTTCTGGATGGACATTTGTATTGGTTAGCTTTCCCATCACAGGGACACAATCAATACCCAATGCCCACCACTGCAAGGAGGAGAGGTTTGACCTGGCTCACAATTTCACGGGATTCAGGCCATGGTCAGCTGACTCCAAGACAGAAACATCATGGCAGAAGGGTTTGGTGGAGCAAAGGTGCTTAGTTCATGGCTACCAGGAAGCAGAGCAAGGGAAAAACACCAGAGAGGAAAGGATGAGGGACCAGATATAGAGCCCAAGGTCACTTCCATGATCCACCCACCCCCAAAAACGTTCAATTCCCAGCCAGATCCCAAAGCCAATCGAGTTGACCATTGCCCTAACCACCACTAAGTAATTGCAAAAGGCAGAATCCCTGGAAGTCTGAGTCTTGCTTATAATCCACGTGGCCAACAGCATGGCTAGGATTAAAATTTCTCCCCAGAGCAACAGACATCAGAAACTCCACGCTGCCAGGGCTTTGCACACGGTGCCCTCTTTGCAGTTTGTGTTGCTGACACCAAGCTAAGGCAGGGTCCTGGGGCTGCTGAGGAGGAGCTGTGGGCTGCAGCAAAACCCCAGGGCGTTTCTGGGCAGCCCTGCCCTGCTAATGCTGCAACGAGCATGGATTAGAAAGTAAGAACGGCTGGATCTGCTGGCACAGCAAACAAGACACTGTTCCTCTATTTCTGGCCTCATTCCCTATGTGAACAACAAGGGAATGACCTCAGTCACTGTGGCGGGCCTTCCTCGTCCCCTGGCCAGCCCTGCCCCCCTCCTCAGCTGTCCAGATGCCACCCTGAGACTCAATCTCTACATGTGCAGAAGGGTGTGGCCCCAGGAACCTCTGATAGGGACAGAGGAGATGTGGGCCTTATGTGGACCCTGGTGGGGGCTGCTTGCCAGGTGCTGCTCCATCATCCTAGCCAGGGGGGAAGAGTGTCTGCAGGAGCAGTGAGCCCATCAAGGAGGCAGCCAAAGGCAGAGTGAAGGCAGCAGAGGCCTGCAATGGGAGCCAGGCCTGGGGGCAAGAGCAGCAGGGGATGTCAGGAAAGCTGATGGCTGGGGGCGTGGGGGTGCACATCTGTAACCCCAGCACTCAGGAGACTTCACTGGAGGATGGAAGGGGTGAACCCAGCTTTAGCAGTTTAGAGACGCTCTCAAAACAGAAACTAGAACAAGAGCCAGTGCTGTGGCTCAGTGCGAAGGCTCTAGGTTCAACCCCCAACTGCAAAAAATAAAATAAAATTAAAAATTAAAAGTTAAAAAATCCAAGCATTGTCCGGGAAAACTAAGCTCTCCCAGCCAGGTTAATGTGGTTTTATACTTTTCAGGAATGTGGCTGGAAATAAGTTGTGTTCCCTAAATCAATGCTTTATTAGATTGAAGCCTTCAGATGAAAGAGGGGCCAGAGCATGTTGAGCCCTGCCAGGAAATCTGGGGAAACTATTTTCATTTCAGCTTGGAGGTGAAATATTTATGTCTTTAATAAGCATGGTGCCTGAGACCTAGGTCTTATGAATAGCTTCACCAGAAGTGTGTGCACACACAGCTCAGAGAGAAGGGACCTGAGGTCCCACGCAGCCACCACAGATCCCTCCCGTCCCGAGCCTGTGGGAGACAGATGGCTGCAGCCCTGACCTCCAAACAGTTCCCCTTCTCACTGGAGTTTGGCTTCTCGCCCTCAGCGCAGATCCTGTCTGCCTGTGCCCTGTGCCTGAGACGGCAGTGAATGACTCTGACAAGCAGGGCAGCACCTGAGCTGGGGCTGGCCATCCTCTCCTGGGGTTAGGGGACCCTCAGCCCAAAGGGCATGCAGGAAGCTGGCTTTGTGCCAGAGACACCCTAGCTGCAGCACTGACCCCATATTACAGACCCTACGGGGCCTTTCTGAGCCCCACACCATGGGGAGCACTACACAAACACACGGCCTGGCCCGCAGCTGTCCTCTGGTCATGGGTGGGTCCACCCAGCCTGCCTTCATTGCAGCACAGCTAACAGCAAATGGGTATTGGTGGAGGCCAGGGTGACAGGAAAAGCTTGGGGACAAACAGGCTGAGGTCACCAAAAGACTGAGAGAGAGAGACCATCCTGTTTCAGCTTGCCAAAGAGTGTAGGGATGGCTGCAGTCCTCTGGGGGGCGGCAGGGCTGCCAGCACTTTCACAGGTGTCTTTGGCCCTTAGCATCTGCACCACGTGTCTGGGCATGTGGTAACCTCCTCAAGGTTGGGACCGATCTAGTAAAGACCAGTGCTTTGATCCACAGTACAGCAGCCTTCGAGCTGCCCATCAGCCACAGCCAGAAATTACCCCTAGGCCCTCTCAGTGGGCACAGCGAGGCTCCAGTAGGGAACGAGCCCAAGCCAGCACACGGAAAGCACATTCACAGGACACTTCTGCAAGGGGACCTCTGTTGACAGTCATTAGCATCAAATGCGCTCACAGATGGCCCTGGCAAACTCTGCGTGTCAGCTTCCCTTGAAAATGCTTAGTGAAAATTTCCATCCTAGAAAATACTCCTAAAGCACCCTCCTGCGTCACATACGTCCTGAATCGAATGTTTTACTGTCTTTGCTCTTTGTTCCTTCTGCTTTTAACCTTCTCTTGTTTTTAATTGACATAATAACCATGTGTATGGACAGGGTACAACATGCTGTCGGGATGGGTGTCTACTCTGGGGAAGGACTGAGGGAGGATAATTAGCAGAGCCGTCAGCTCACATACTAATTATGTATTTGCAGTCACAATTTAAGTTTTCTTTCAGCGATGTCAAAATTCACAATATACCATGATTAACTACAGTATCACTGCTGCGCAGAGGACCACTAACCCTTCCTCCGGAAACCTTGTGCCTGCCTGTCCCCGCCCCCAGCTGCCTCTACCTCACTTACAGCAGTTTAACCTGCCCGGACCCGAGTTAAAGTGGCCTTGCCTTTCTGTGCCTGCTGATGTCACTCAGCATGATGTCTCCCAGGCCCCGAATGAAAGCAGCCTCTCTCTACAGGCTGCACAGCACTCCGTGGTGTGGCTCTACCACGTTTTTAATGGTTCCTCCACTGGCAGGGGCTCAGGTTGCTGCCACATCTGGGCTGCTGTGAGCAGAGCCACCACCAGCAAGCCAGGGCAGGTGTCTCTTCCACGGCGATTTGGTTCCTCAGTGGTGGCCAGCTGGGTCACTCCCGGGTGTTGTAGGAAACGCCCCGCTGTGTTTGGTAAGGGCCGCCTAGTGGGCCAGGGACTTGTTCCCACCCTCAGTGGCGCGAGGCATTTTCCTGCCATTCCATTCGTGGTGCTGAGCACTTTGCCCACGCCTCTGTGAACCACTTTTACATCTTTTTTGAGAAATGTCTATTTGGGCTCTTTGTCTTTTTTGTTTTTTTTCACAGCACTAAGATTAGACCCAGGTTGTTTGCACTGTTTTAACATTTCTTTTCGAAGCTTCTTATTTTGTGTTAGAGTCTCCTAAGTCTCCCAGGCTGGCTCAGACCTGTGACCCTGGGTGCCCAGCCTGGTCCCACAGTGCTAGAATTTCAGGTGTGCTCCACTGTGCCTGCACTGCCCATTTGTAACGAGGTTTCTTGGTGTCATACCATAAATTTGTTCACACTTTTTATATATTTTGAGTATTAGCCACTTATCTGCAAATATTTTCTCCCAATCTGTTGTCTCTTCATCCTGATGTTTCCACTGCTGTACAAACTTTTCTGATGTGAGGTGGTCCCATTTGTCTAGTTTTTCCTTTGTTGTCTGTGCTTTTCAAACCTAAGAAAGTGTGTGCACACCAAGGTCTTGGCAGTTTTCCTGCAATCATCTGCCAGAGTCAGGTTTTGTATTTAAATCTTTCACCCATTTTGGGTTTATTTTTGTATGGTGTAATAAAAGGTATAATTTCACTTTCCTGCAGTTTATGGGCAGCTGAGAGTATCCAATTTTCCCAAACCATCTATTGGAGCTTCTATCCTTCCTTTATTATGTGTCCTTGACATCTGTATTGAAAGCACTGAACTGTAAATGTGTGGGTTTATTTCTGGGTTCTCTACCCAAATTCTTTTGTCTTTTTGCTTTTATGCCAGTACAATGCAGTTTTGGTGACCATAACTTTGTAATATATTTGAAATCATGTAGTGAGATAGCCCTATCCTTTTTTTTTCAAGATTGCTTTGGCTTTTCAAAGTGTTTTGCTCTGGCTTTTCAAGTCACATAGTTCATATGACTTTTAGAGCTTTTTTTTTTTGCAGTGAAGAATAGCATTGGAATTTTGATGGGGATTGTATTAAGTCTGTAGATCACTTTGAGTAACGTGAACATTTTAACAACATTAGTTATTTGAAACTATGAGTACAAGGTATTTTTTTTCTTTTTCAAGTTTTTCATCAACATTTTATAGTCTTCAATGTAATGATCTACCTCCTTGATTAAATTTACTCCTATTTTATTTTTGGGTGCTATTGTAAATGAGATTTTTTAAATTTTCTTTTTCAGATAGTTTGTTGCTAGTATATAGGAAACAACCAATGTGTGTGTGTTCATTTTTATTCTGCAATTTCACCAAATTTGTGGATTAGTGCTCACTTTGTTTTAGGAGTGTCTTGAGGCTTTCCTTGATGGAAGGCTAGGCCATTAGCAAAGACAGTTTAGTTCTTCCTTTGCCGTCAAGACTCTTCCATTCCTTACTCTTTCTGATCATCGTGGCAAGGATTTCCAGAACCAGATTGAACAGAAGCAACAGTGGCCACCCTCCTCCCATGCTGACACTGAGGAAAAGTTCGCAGCTTTTTACTATTGTGAAGTTTGTTTCTTCAGCAGCCACTGAAAAGACAGCAGAATGCAGCAGCACCACTGCTGCTAGAGAAGCCGGGAGCCAGGGAGCCCGCCGTGGGCACCGTCTGCAGTGCTGTGGAGAGGGCGGCAGAAGAGGTGCAGCTTGGAAGCACAGACCAAGACTGGACCCGGAAGCCACCTAAGCAGACTGATAAAGAGCAACAAGATTGGATTAGTAATAAAAAGTATACCAGCAGAGGAAAGCCCAACCCTCACAGGCTCACTGCTGACTCTACCAAGAGTTTAAAGAAGAACTAGTACTGATCCTGCTCAATTAAAAATAAAACAAAAAAGGAAAAGGATGGAACACTTCAAAACTCATTTTATGAGACCAACATTATCCTCATAGAAAAGCCAGGCAAGGACAGTGCAAGAAAAAAATCATAGGCCAACATTCTTGATATGCATAAATATAAAAATCAGCAACAAAATACTGGCAAACCCAGCTCCATGGCACACAAAAAGGATCATTCACCCTGTTGTGGGAGGGGTGTCCCAGGTGTCCCAGGGTGCCTCAACATGGGAAAGTCAATAGACACGATTCACCCTGTGACAGGATGAAGGTCAAATGTATATGATAATCTCATAGATAAAGAAAAGGCATTTAACAAGATTCAACACCCTTTCTTCAAAACTCAACCAACCCAAGCTAGAACAAATGTTCCCCATTGTGCGTCTTAAACCCTGTAAGAGATAATTTTGTAGATTCTAAGGTATTTTTAGGACCCTCTTGATGCGCCCCTGAATCTACCAGGAGAGGGAGCCTGGCGCTGCCTCTGTACAAAGTGACACCGGCCCTAGACCTAGTGACTGGGAGGCCCCAGGGAGCAGGGATCCCTTTCCTCTGACTCAAAAGACCGGGAGAAAACACACACGACTGTGAACAACAGGGAAACCTTTCAAGGTCACGGAACATCGCTGCAAAGGTCCCAAAGGGCCATTCTCAACCCTATTGTTCTACAACAGTGCAAAGCCCGTTCTTCCACCAATCTGAGTGCTTTGGCACTCATCCTGACCCCGACCTGGGGTCCCCAGCACCCACAGAGCGCACATCGTGCTTCATGTACCTGTATGGCTTCATGTCACTCAACAGACAAGCATTTTCCTCCTCTTCCCAGTGTGCTGCTTCTGCCATGGACGCATCTCCTGCGTTCATTTTGTAACTGCGGAGAAACTTTGGAAACGTAGCCATTCCGGTAGCCTCCTCCTGAGGTATGATGGGGGCTGCCAGCAGGTGAGGGAAGGGAAACAGGAAAGCCAGGCTGCACCCAGCTTCTGGAAACAGCCGAGGTGTTGGAGTTATCTGCTCTCTGAAGAGTTCCCTCCCGCGCCTAGCACAGCACAGAACTGGATGCATGGGTAGGGACACAGCACAGGTCCATCCCAGTGCTGGAGAACTGTGCCTGGAGGCAGACACTCCTTGCGTCAAAAGTGCAATGTGAGCCTTTCTTCTTTGGGAGCAACCTGCCTCCTTCTTCACAGAGGCGAGAAAGCCAATGTCTCCCACTTGCTGCCTTCCCCAGAGGAAACGTGCCAGCCCTCCTCCTTCGGATGACTTGGGACCTTGCCAGGCTCTTAGTCCTTGGGGCTGGCAGTGTCTCTCAGAAAAGGAAGAACCTAGTACAGAACACAGCTGACCCAGACCAAACACCTCTCCCCTGAGCTGGCCCTGGAAACCGGCCCTGGAAACCATGGGACGTTCAGAAGCTCAGGCTGCACTCAGGGCTCATCTGCCTTTTGCTTAAATCTCTTTGAGCGAGCAAAGCTGGCACTGATTCTCCTTTTCCTGTGAACTGTGTGGAATTCTTTTTAATGTACATAAACTGTGCATTCTTTTGAAACATGTACGCCTACATTTCCAGTTGGATTCATTAAAATCTTTATTTCTAATGCAATCAGTAATCCCTTTCATTTAATCTTTATTGAAAAACTCCTGCTGTTTTCTGTTGCTATTAATAATTAGACTCATTTGAACTAAGTGGCTCTCATGATTAAAAGCTTGTTGAACTGCCTGAGTGATTTGCTGTACCATGGTCCTGTGATTCAAGCACATGACAGAGAGTTCACCGTGACGCAGACAGCTGACCATGGATGGGCATCTAAGACTGCTCTGGACCCACGTGCAGGAGTTGGGCCGGAGGCTCCCCTGTGGGTGGCCACAACCCTCTGGCTGGGAGTGAGAGGGGTTGGGATCCCGTAAGATGTCAAGATCCCAGTTTCCCAAGCTTCTGGCAAAGCTGCAGAAGATTAACCCAAGGAAATGAACATGGCCTATAATTAAAGCAGTCGTAGCCTGGCACTCCTAGCTCCCACCCAAGCCATGGAGGAGGCTGCAAGCCAGCCTGCAGTCAGGCTGCAGCAGGTCTGAGGGAAGGAAGCACAGAGGCGACAGAAGTCCTGAGCGCTGCTTGGAAGACGCAGCTCATGCTTTGCTGCTGTGCGGGAGCTCAGCCCACCCATGGGCGAGGCTCGGGGTTACCTTCCTCTTCAAATTGCTTGTGCACCTGGAAACCGTGGGACTGCCAGGTATCAACAGAGCCCTTGGGAGAAAAGACAAATCCATGGATCTCTATGATCTGCAAACGCTGACCGCCTTTGATCTTTGATCTTTGCAGTGCTTGGGATGGAACCTAGGGCCTTGTGTCAGCCAAGCAAGTGCCCACCACTCAGCGACATCCCCAGTTCCCAAATGCCAATTTTTGCAGCACTGTTGATTAAAATAAAGACACTTTGGCTTCCTGCAGAGTCAAAATTCACAGGGCTCCTCAGGATAAATGCATTGCTTGTGGCAGGAGTTCCTCGCAGCTTGGAAAAGCCCCTTTGATATTGTAGAACCATCCTAATCATGGGAAACAGACACTGAAAAGCCAGGCAGGGACCAAAGGTCGCCAGCGAGGTCAAGGATGAAATCAAATGGGAGCATGGACATTTCAGCATCATTAATCATTGTTCCCCGGGAGGCTCTGCTTGTCCTGCAACATCTTGTTTCATCTACTCCAGAAGTGAACTTCTCTCATTAGCAAATAGGGAATCAGCTAAGCAGCATCCAGCATCGGGGACTAAACCATCCAGGGAGACATTAGAGCACAGGGTTGCATCCTCTCTCCCCAGTGAGGTCAGGTGATGTCCTTCCCCCCAGGATGAGCACCCAGGGAAGCCCTGATCCTGTAGTCTAAGGTGAGGCTGAGGCAGGAACCTGACAGCCAGTCACTATGGTCACTATGGGCTCTGCACATTCACCAGTGGCCTTTTACTCAACCCCCTTCAGTGAGGTCCTAAAACACCCTCTACACACACAGGATCCATGGCAGGCAAGAAGGGCATCATAGGGGCAAGGCTTTGTGGGCACCACTTTGAGCAAAGATTCAGTATAGCAGTTAAAGCAATCTTTGGCTGTTCCAAAGCTCCAAACACGTTGTCTGGTTTCCATGGAGGAGATAAAGCCACAGCCACGCACAGCCAGAAGACACACCAGGACTTCTTGGGGACAAAGCTGTCTTCTGAACAGACTGGGTCTGGAGCTACAGAAGCCCAAGCCCAGGCTGTCCAACATGACACCCGGACCCCAGGACAACCAACCCCTGTGTCTCCCAGACACCATGAAATGTCCATGGCAGAGGTCTGATATTCAAGCCTGGAAGATCAAAGATCGGGCAAGGGAAATTCTGGATTGGACCCGACTTTCCTGGACACGGCGTAAACAGGAATAAAGCATCAGGCTGAGAGCATCTAGCTCAACTGTGTATAACTCAAGGTCGCAGCCTGCTGCGAGGTGCAGATGCCTAGGGCCCTGGGTTGAGCCCACCTGAAGAATGTCCAGCACTCAGCCTGGTAATGCAGTTTGTATCAAGAGTTAGAAAAGCAGAGAGCGGGAGATGGCAGCCAAGTTAAAATTAGCAGATGAACTTAACGTGTACCTTAGGCGTCTGACACTTTGATAAGAAGAATCTGCCTCAGTGCTTAAAAGTGCCAAGCCTCAACCCCCAGGGTATGGGCAAGGAACAGAGAGTTCAAAGTGAATAATTACCTGTTATTGATGTATTATATTTTAAAACCCTGGCTGAGGATTAAAGGCCCTCTCAAGGCTGTTAAAAGCCCACAATAAACAAGTCATGTATCACAGAGGAGGGAGAGGAAGGAATTTCAGGGTTTCCTCCATCACTCCGAATCCTGCACAGGTACCGCAGGGCACATATGCTGTCACACGGAGGGGCAGGCAGACAGATGCTGGGAAAAAACCATTTAACACCTAGCAGTTTTGTCAGTCCTGGGGTCTTCTGCACTGAGTTTTGCCGTCTTTCAAAGGCTCTCTTTAATCACTGTATTCCCAGCAGCCCAGAGGGGCATGGCCAGCTGGTGGGTTCCATGTGCCCAATTTCTTTCTTTTTTGCTGTTCAATTAAAGCATAAGAGGGTTTCCAAGTGAGGTCACTGATGGCCCAGGAGATCTAGTGCCTCTTCCCTGGGGACAAGCCCAGAGAGGGGACACTTTCTGTCCAAAGTCTCCAAAGCCGTCACTGTCCCCTCTCTGGGGGACAAGCCTGCTGATCGTCTGTTTCCCCTCCCGCGGTATCTGTTTCTGTGATCTCTCATCTGAGGGCTATTATTCTAATGAAAAACACTGACAGGAAATCAGTCCAAGACAGACTTAATTTGATGTGGAAAAGAATTTCAAGCACACGCGATGTCCATCGGAAATTATGATCAGCTTTAGCTTTCAAAGATCTGAAGATGCTACAGTGCTTTGAAGGAAATGGGGAGGAGTGTTTTCTTGTCTTTGTTTTTTATGTCTTTTAAGGAAAATAAAGAAGGAGGAGAGGTGGAGGAGGAGGAACAAGAGGAAGACGCAAGTCTTCCCGTGGAAGGAGGGTTCTCATTCATGTCACCACATCTGCAGACAGCAAGTGCGCAGGGACCTAGCCTGACTGGAGCCCACTTTTCCCAACCCAGTTCCTGCCCCTGCCCCCAATAATTGCACACAGCCTGCTCCAGAAAGCCACCCCCTTTTAGCCCCCTCCAGCCCAAGTGACAGACCCCCAGACTTCTACAGCACTGAGACCTAATTGATGCTGCCCCGGCGCCTGAATTACTGAATTAAATGTTCTTTCTGGTTCTGCATTGCCAGGCCTCTCTCAGTGGCACCCCAAGACCCAGCCCTGGCCTCCCTCAGCTGTCCTTCAGAGCTGGACCCCAGGGTCACAGGGCTGCAAGCGCATCACGGACAGTCACAGCAAGTGATTCTTCTGCACTTACATTTTCTGCTGTGCTGAAATACATACAGCCTCCAGCGTGCCATTGTAAATGTTTCACGTGTGCAGTTCAGGGGCGTTCACAAACTCCAGGGCTGGGTAGCCATCACTGCTGTCTCTAAACTCCTCACCCCTCCTCAAATACATTGCTGTGTAGCCACGAAGCAGTGCCTGCCACTGCCACCTCCTCCAGCCCCCTGAAGTCTCTGGTCTATTCTCTCCAGCCCTGTGGGTTGCCCTCTTTGAGCGTCACATGAAGGCTCACACAGCCCTGGTCCTTTCTCTTGGCAAGCTCCTCCAGGGTCCACCCTTGCTGTGGCATGCGCTGGATTTCTGTTTCTACTGACCGTCAAGTAAAGTCCTGTGCTGGGTGCCTGCCATAGGGGGGCCTGGGGCTGCTCCTGGCGTTAGCTGTTGTATATGATGCTGGAGGAATGTGGGTGTACACGCAGCTATTTCAGTTCCTGACCCAGATCACTTGGGGAGTGGGGTCACTGCATCTTCCCTCTGTATTTCATGGATGAATGAGTGAAGGAGTACTTCCAGTGACACCACAGGTCTACAAAGACACCAAGGAACAGAGTGGGTGGCATATCTCTTTAGGAGCCACCTAAAGCCATTTGGAGTGGTGGTACCATGTGACCCAGAGACCAGACTGGGGACTGGAACATAAGCCGCACACATGACCCAATCTCTGCCTCCTCCCAATACACCCCTGCCCTGGAGATGAGGAGTCACACCCCTGCTATGTCAAACATTTGGGGACATTTGGAAAGCATCGATGAATTCGAGCAAATCCTCCATTCATAAGAGTCAAGAAAGAGGAGAGTGCAGAGCAACCCAAAGAATTCCTCCCACATAGGAAATCTGCCAAGTGGAGTGGGCACAGAGGCCCGGGTCAGGGAAGAATGGCCAGCAGCACCCTACAGGAAGTTCCCTGCAAGGAAGAGCCAGGGTTGAGGCAGGGCCTCTCTGCTGACCCATCGTGCTTGTGCAAGCAGAGGCTGTTGTCATGGCAGGTGCCAGCATTTAAAATGCACAGCCCGGAGGTCACCTGCTGGCCAGCAGCCTCATCAGGGACCTCTGGGCCCGTCTTCTCACATCCTCTAAGTGGCAGGGCTGCCTTCTCTGGCCCAGTATCACCCATGAATGCTGATCTGCCCTGCTAAGGCTCATCCTGCCTTCGACAAGCACCTGGCAAACCTAGGGAACCGGGCTCTGTCCCAGAACAACACGTTTCCAACCCGAGCCAGGGAGGTGGCACATGGGTGGCTGACTCTGAGCAGTTCCCCCAACCCCTGCCTGTTTTCTGGACAAGCTTGGGTTTGGCCTTAGTCAATACCCTTTGGTGTCCTTGAGGAGGGGACAAGCATTTTTCCTGCATGAAAAGCAGGCTTCGCTTTGTATTCTGAAGGTGTCTCTACCCTGGATGCTATGTGGTCTCTGATCCTGGTCCTTTGGTTTCAGAAGATGCACTCACAGCTGTAAGAAATCTCAACCCTGGAGCATCTTGCTGCTTGTGGCATTTTCCACTGACATCTGCCAT